AGACAATACATCTTTACAACAAGAGGCGTCCTGAACATCCTTTATCTGCACTCACACTGAGCAGAAGAGTTCAATTGATTAATTGATTGAATGGATCACAGGAGGAAGAAGGCGGTCTGTCAGGTGAGTGAACAGGTTGAACCTTTCGAGCAGGACAGAATAATTATCAGTACTTACTTCATGGATTCTTTCTCCTCTGGCGAACCCGTGGTTTCCTGTTCCTGTTCCTTTTCCTTTTCCTTTTTCTTTTTCTTGTTTCTGAGTTCAAAATACACAATCAAGAGTACAAACTTAACACAATTTATTAATAAGTGGAGGATGAAATATTATCAATAGTTACCTGATGAAGATGAAGACTACCACTAAGACCACAAGGGATAAAATTACAGCTGCAACTGCAATGCTTCCAGCAGCATTCGAGCCTGAACCTGAAGACCAGATAAGTTCATAATTCTACCAACGATAACATGGAGCAGAAGCATAAAGTTCTAGTGTGCGTGTCTTTGTGTGTTTCAGGTTGTGAGATGTTGCTGTGTTGGTACCCGGCGTGTCGTGGACCAGATATCAGGTGATAACGGACCATGAAGGTTCTCCTGCCTCTCACCTGGACTCGTCTGCACCCTCAGAAAGGTGTTGGCTACGTATGTCTCCTCGCTGTTACTGAGCTCACAGGTGTAAATCCCCTCCTGAGCTGAAGACAGGTCCTTTAGCGTGAGGTCGGTCGACTCTGTCGAGATCTCCACATGCTGAGTCCAGCCGTCTGAGACCTTGTAGCTGGACCCGTTCTGCTTCAGAATGGTGTGACTGTGGTTGAACCTCCAGGTGAGACTGGTATGAGGGGCGGGTAAGGACGCACAGGGGATCGTCGTTCCAGACTCTGACCCGTTGATGGAGGCTGAGAAGATAGAACACACAGATGATCCGTGTGTTTCCCATCACAATCTACTTCTCCCCGGAGACACTCACTTGGTCGAGCCCACGTGGTCGTCCTTTTGGTTCCTCCGCCGCTGACGGTGCAGATGTAGTCCAGATCAGCAGCTGGATTCGTGACAGAGCTGCTGATGCTGAAGAGCTGCTGTGCAGTCTGCTGCACTGTTGGGTTCCAGAGGCTCCGGTTGGACGGAGGTCTGGTGGACCAGGTGAGCCCAGGTTGAGGGTAGATCCCCTCTGAGCTGCAGGTGATGCTGTCTTCTGCCTGCTGGATGTCCACTCTACGGACCGGAGCTGCAAAGACGAGTGAGACGTGGCGTCTTTAAGGTGCTAATTGCTCCTTCACACATTAATGAGGAATCATGAAGCTGTTGGTGACTAAATCGATCTGTATGAATATGAGAGACGGCATCATTTATCAACCAAACGACGTTACGGCTTCTGCAACAAAGTAATTCAGACCAGTTTGTTTTCCATCACGGTCACTGCCGATAACAGAGATACTAGTTATCTGGTAACCTTCAGAAAGACCAGTCTGCTTGGTTTGGTTTCATTCTCTGATGGGGGAGCAGTGAACAGAGCGCTTCAGGATGTTTGTGTGCTTGTGTCAGAGGTGTGCAGGTCTCCTTTTCCACCCGACCAGCTGATTCCCACACGGTGGATATCAGGCTCCTCTGCAGAGACCTCATCTTATCGGAGAGGGAGACCAAACACAACTCTCACCCCTCAACACTCCTTAGTGTGCGTTCACACGGCGCACAAAGAACAACGTCACACGTGTCCAAACGGGTCCAAACGTGTCCAAACGTGTCCAAACGTCCCTTTGTGGTATTCAGAATTCATTTCTATCATTGTTTCTGAACAGAAAGCTCTTTCTCTAATCTGCCTTCAGGTGACAAAACGAAAATAGAAAGCAGATACTGGACTGTAAATGATTGCAGAGTGAACGCCGGAGCCAGAGAAACTAAGACACATACCGCCATACGGGACGGACCGGTTCCCTCTGAGCAGAACTGCATTAGCAGCATTACTGACGAGCAGCACTTCCATTCCATCCATTCCAGCAGCTTTACTGACGAGCAGCACTTCCTTTGGCATGACGTCGAAAACGTCACTGTTGCTTTGCTTTTTAAGTCTTTACTCTTTACTGCGTAGATGCAATCGTTGGTGAAGACGTGCATGAATGTAAATGTAAAGAATTTATATTCGCTATGAACCAAACCTTTGATAATAATATAACCGTCTTGATTTATTTATTCAACTTTATTATGTTTAATTAAAGTGTCACCGATTGCCCTGTTGGGCTGAAAGTGCAAAATAAAAAGCTCCAAAAACATAAATACCCGGACAGGCTACTGAAGGGTGGTGTCCACAGGCTACTGAAGGGTGGTGTCCACAGGCTACTGAAGGGTGGTGTCCACAGGCTACTGAAGGGTGGTGTCCACAGGCTACTGAAGGGTGGTGTCTTAAGAGGAACTCTTGGAGTCGCTCCGTTCACTTGCAGGAGGATGAAGACCTCCATGGTCCTCTCGTTGGTCCCGGTGTAGCACTTGTAGAGTCCCTGGT